CTGTTTTTGGGTGCAAATGGAGAGAGGTGGCAATAACCTCAAGCACACAACCAGCCACTCTAAGTGACTGCCCAAAATATAAATCGCATTTTTTTTTATTCTGTATACCCATTAAGTCCTAAGCAGCATCGTGTTTTGGCCGATGAGCTGGAAGAAGAGCCGAATTGCTAAGCAGAATTCTTGCCTTCTGACATAGGAGGAGAGTAAAAAAGCGTTTAATTGCGCACTTTTTTAGAAAAAAATGTGGTGAGCTTTGTATATTTTTTTGTCTAGAGGGGGAAAATGGAATGATTGACAACCAGTGGAAAGGTGTCACAGCAGACTTCTGTATCGGTGAAGAACAATACCCTTGAGAGTGGGTAAATGGCACAGGGGCGTAACTTGGGGTGCTCATGGGGATAAAGTGACGGTTACTGAAGCTTTCCCCTGCCTTTCCCATTGCATCATCACCTTGTAAAGTGGGATGTGTAGGCATACATAAACATACACACGTAAACACAAACACACCTGTCTCTGCTTCATTGGTGTTGAAATGGACTGAAAACGAGTTTACGCGGGTCCTTAAGGCCTACTTAAAAGTGCTTATAGATGTTCACGAATCAAATGAAAAATTTGTGAAGCATATTGGCCTTAACTTGGAGGAGACCTTCAGAGTCGGATACATTACATTATACGTATCGAATTGCCTCCCTGTGAGGTCGGGCTGGAAATCGTTCCTAATCAGTTACACAATGCCTTTTGGTTTGTTTTTTTTATGTCTTTGGGATTTCTTCAATTACATCGGCCCTTTTTGAATAGTGAAGAGGGTCTGAACTCTTTATTGAGACACAACACTCACAGCGGTTCTCCGTCGATCTTGCATTACGATGCCGACTTTCGCCCATTGCCTTTGAAAAACTCTGCGCTGGAAAGCTGAGTAAAGTTGCTTTAACGAAGGGTGGTAAAAACTGGTAGTCGAACTGGTGAAAATGAGTCCAACGTTGCTCCAAACGTCCACCTCCTTAGGCAAATTAAGGTGTTCGATGATTTGTTCTTCTTAGGTGGCCTTATAGTTTCATAAATCAAAGTAAAACAAAGCAAAGGATACTTAAAGTATGAAGAATTTATTGCCAACGACAAGTGGCATTTTCAGTCAAACTAGTACAATGATGGTTTCTTAAACATGGCAAAACGGTGCACGCTCAAATATTTGGGTTTAATAGTTTGATTTGTTGGCCTTAACAGTAGCATTTGGAATAAAACCAGTTCGGAGAGCTTTAACGCTCATTTATTTGCTAGGACTCGGCGCTTCCGCATCCTCTTGTGCGCATCGTTCGATGAGGTATTTGGTGTGGACTCACGAGGCGGTCTCTGTGACGCAAGAATGAAAGAGGTTGATAATATCAGGGCTGGCGAGCACGAGAAGCTCTCACTAATCAACACGTCCGCCACGGAATTTCCGTGAAAATGGGATCGTATTTGGATATCCCGTAATATCTTGTGACATCTCTATTTGGATAGGCGTGAATGTGCGTGTCACCGCACACTTTCCACACTGCAAAAGGCTGTGGAAGTTGTCCAAAGTGTAGTCCATTTTCAGCTCCTTTGCTGGAGGTTATTGTAAATTTTCTCATCCACGGGTAGAACCGTTCCTTGGGATAAATTTTACTTTTGTTGCCATTCGCGTAGTCCACAGATGCCGCTCCAAGTGAAGGGGAAGGCATTTGTTTAAGCTGGTGCAGGAGAAGGAATCGGAGGCCCAAGTAGAGCGTTACCAAAAGCATGAATTACCGAAATGAGGTAACGAAATTCTTTGCCACATGGTTGTTGAACCCGACACCTATTAAATCGTAGGTGACATTAATTTTAACGAATGGTTTGGGATATCACAGATAACGCTACAAATTTTGCCTTGAAGCAATCAAAGAAGGAAAGTTATAGGAAATGCTATCTTAAAACGGAGAAAGAACTGTCTTAAAGGTGAATTAATGGGATGGGAAAGCTCTACTTTCTCAGAGAGCGCAAACCGCCAAATTGACGAAATGGTTGAAGCACACCAACGCTAAAGTGTAGTCAAGGAATGAGGTGGGAGGTGATTACCAGGTAGGCACTTAGCTATAGTTTTCCCCTTCACTTTGAAGCAGCTTGAGTGGCAAGACTGACCATGCAAAACACTAAAGATCTCCACAGACTTATGAAACACACACGGGACGTTACTGATGAGGTGCAGCTACGCGAGAATTCGCTAGATCACTGCACCGGAGCACGTGAAGAAGGACTAAGGCCCTCTGGCATGGCTCCACGAGCATGTAGCTAAGCAAAAGTGCAGACACGAACAATCAACTCCATGCCTCGTTCTACACTCATATCCAATTGTTCATTTTACCCCTCTCCCACATCGTTCGCCGTTCGTCCTCGATGATGCAAGGAGACAGTCATCGAATTAGCCTTCAAGCGAATGAACTTTGGCATTTGCACCCAATTACGAAATGTGTCCCGCCTGGGAGCTGTATTAGGGGCAGAGGCAGGAATTGGCTGCCCATCTCATAGGACCATTGCTAGTTGTAAAACACTGGCTTTAAAATGGAGTCATTTAACAAGGGACAGAACCAAATACAGCTTCATGAGGCATAACTTCGCTTCTGTCCCTCTTGACTGTTTTTACCTTAGTGATACCTAGCCTCGTCCACCCGCCTTCCACATGGAGGGGGCGCAGAGTCTTCACTTACTTTGCAGATGACTGAATCCGTGTTAGGTGCTGCCGACTTACCTGGGGAATAAGGAACTTAGGCGATATCCAAAGATGGACTTACAGAATGGGCGCATTTCTTACTAGAATGTGTTCCACCATCAAGCGGTAGGGGAGCAGGTAGTTGGCATGATCCGGAGGCCGGACCACACAAGTACAGCGCCACAATTACAATCCGTTTAAATGGGCCTTTGTTCAACTAGTTTGCATACAAGTGAAG